TTGTTTTCGTGCTGCGTTTGAGGGGTCTTGCTTGTGTAACAACGGAACAGGGATTTGTCAGTCCCGCGGCTTTGCAAAATCTAAAGGCGTGGGACGGGATTGTCTGCATGTTGATCTTGCAGATCCTCGATGGCATGCACCAGCTTACGCTGAAGCGAATTGGGCCCCAGTGGTCAAGTTTGTAAAATTGTACCAAGAGAAGGGCGTTCTTGGGCCCTCTGATTGGTTCAAAGCACTGACACCAAGTGCACAATGGGCTCCGTGAGACCCACTTTTTCCGGAAGGTGCACGGCTTCTGGAAAAAGAATCTCTTACGGCGACATGCATTCCAATTCCGTTGGATTGTCGTGTGAAGAGGACGTTTCGACAAAGGTTCCCATCAAAACGGACTCGGAATTGGACGAAAAAGGAGCAGAAAAAGGCACGGCGGCAGCGGTCAATCCCTTGGCGGATGGACTGGTCATTGGTGGCAGAGGGCGTTCGACCACCTTTGGATCGACCACCTACAGCGTGGAATGACACTGTGGATTTTATGGATGTTGCTGTTCATGTTCAAGCTAGTGGTTTTCTTGATGCTTGTACTATCCATACTTTGACTGTGGCGCACCATCATCTTGCACCAAACTCTATGGTGTTGAATACTTGGATTGCACCTCCATGCAATCCTGTCAAGAAACGACTCTATGGTTTTGGCCGGGTTTCGAAAGACCACGGTTTGAATCATGATGTGGTTAATCCACGGTCCATGATCCATTTTGCTTGGCCATATCTTTCCGCTGAGGATCGACTTACGGCAATACAGGCATCTTTTGTTTGGAAGCAGTATGCAGAGTTGCGCCGTTTTGCATGTGTTACTTCTCTCAAGTCCTTGCAACTTCCACGTCTCTTGGTGGCTGATGAAAAGGTTCCCACTACTTTGGATCCACATCGAGCATGGCTGAATTCAGCCGCTTTGCTACGATTTGATTTCAATCATGGTGATTTCGTTCGCTGGCTCGGCGGTCCAACAAAGGGCGTGACTTCAATCTTGAATGGGATGTCATTGAATCCCATTTGAAGTCAAAGGTGCTCACATCCGATCTTCCACCTACAAAATTGGACATGGCGTATCGTATTCAAACTGAAGGTGTTCCTCTCCGTGGACAATATACTATGCCTATGGAGGCAACACTTCTACGAAACAAATATGATAACCACCCAGCGGTGGGTGCTAACTTGGACGCGGTGGAGAAGAAATTTGCAAAGGAGGAGTGGAACTCCTACCACATCAACTACCTGCGATTTGTCTATGAATTTCTCCCGGGCCTGGTCATCACTCCGATTCAGTGGGTCTTCGATAAGGGAAAGGGTCGAATCTGTATTGATTGCTCCAATGGTCCTAATTCCTTCGGTTCCATCAATCTTTACATTCCATCTCCAAAAGATGCTATTCCCGGTGAGGAGGATGAATGCCCTGCAGTGTACTACCAGTATGCATTTGACCGCTTCTTGCGTCAAATCCTAAGGATGCGCATCACTCGCCCAAATGATCCCATTATGGTCCATGCGGACGATATAGAAGCTGCATTTCGACGAGTGCTCTATCATCCCGATATGGCGTGTGCTTTTGCATATGTTTATTCGGATTATCTGATGGTTCCAGTGGGTCAAGTTTTTGGTTCTCGGAGTGCGCCTTCCTACTATTGTGTACTTGCTGATGTCCGCCAAGCATTGGCGGCTTGTCGACAGGATGAGCCTACTCTTCATCCATTGGTAGCTTCCTGCACCTATGAGGTAGATACTTCCTCTCCTCTTGTCCAGGTGCCTCCAGATTCGAATCATCCTCCACTCACTTTGCAGGAGCAAACTGAAATGTACAATGCAAGCTTTGTGGATGATAATGGCGTGGTGGCATATTTGAAAACAATGCCGCAGGCACTCCAGCACAGCGTCAGGTCAGCTTTTGAAGTCTTTGGTGACGAAGATCGTCAAGGTGGCTGTCTTCAGGATGCTAAGTGGACTTCTCTTGTTTCTGAGACTTTTCTTTTTCTTGGATTCCGCATTGACACCCATGCTATGACCGTTTCTTGGCCTTTTGCAAAAAGGAAAGCACTGGATGATGAAATCCAGGATAATCTTTCTCGCAAAGGAAAATATGTGACTCCCAAAGAGATGGCTCACATTATTGGTGTGATTCGATCGGCGGCGGCCATTGCCCCATGGGGAACATTTCTTAGTTTTAATTTGCAAAATGCGCTGACAACAGCTGCACGCAATGCATATTCTACAAATCGTTCTTGGTGGACTCGATCTTGGATCTATCTTTCGGGAGTTGCTATTGCAACATTGCATCAGATTCGGGAAACACTTACTGTTCCTGAAGGAAGTCCATTGTGGTCGCGTCCCATTTCCCTCTATTTGGACCGTGATTTTTCGCACCGAGTGTTTTCGGATGCTAGTTATGCTGGAATTGGTGGATGGAGTTCTGATTTTGGTTTCCTTTGGCGCCTTTGTCGCGAGGACCTTATCCGTGCTGGGTTTGATATGCGTGACATTGATTTGGCATCTTCCAAACCTGTTTCGGATGGTTCCAATGACGGTCTCCATATCAATCCTTTGGAATTCATTGGTGTTCTGGTGAACCTTTGGATCGTTTTAAAATTTGTGAAAAAATTGGGGCCCCGTTCGGGGGGCTACATTCTGCTTCTGTTGGCGGACAAAACCACTGCATTGGCGTGGATGTCTCTTGCCGCTCGCACCAAAAATCCGTTGTTACAAGGACTTGCCCGTTTGGGCGCAGCACTGCTTGTTCATGCTGCAGCTTTACTCACCAAGGTTGTTAAGTGACATTTGCCAGGCGATCAGAACGATGTGGCGGACGCCTTAAGTCGCCCCCCCACAAGCGCCAATCCAGAGCAAAATGTTCTGGACTCCGTTATCGCGCAATGGTCCCAGCTGGACAACTGTCGCATTTGCCTAGTCCCCTTCGAGCTGCTTTCAACGATTGCGTCCGTGATTTCATCACAATCGACCGCGGTACGGTACGATCAAATAACGACCAATCTTTTGAGTCCCGAGCTGCGCATTTTGCCTGCTTCTGCGAGGACATGGAATGCTCCGAGCACTATTTACGAGGATAAGACTGGGCTGACACTCTCAGACTTCTGGGTACCTATTTGCATTCAGTCCAGCGTGGCAACAATCTGGACAAGCTCACTGATTTGAGTGCGCAGACCATGACGAACTACCTGTCTGCTGCTCATCGTTGGCTTGAGGTCGTTCAGGACCATTCAATTGATATATATGACCCGCATTCCTCTGGAAAAGGACGCCGATATCATCCCTTCTTAGCCCAACAACTTGCTGACTGTCGGTCCTGGAAGAAACCAAGGTCAAAACGTGAGCCTTTTTCAATGCTCATGTTTGAAAAACTCTTGGCTGAATTCTCCGCTTCTATTACTCCAACACTTTGTTTTCTGAGCAAAGCATTTGCAGTATATGATTGGGCTCGATTGGGCGTTTTCACCGGCTTTCGCAGTGTAGAATACTCTCAGACTCGGGTCCCAAAAGGACAGCGTTTCATGAAAATCCCTGCATCTGCTTCTATCCCCGAAGAATTTCGCAATACACCACTGGCGTTCATTCCGGATGATTTCCGCTTCTATGATCGCAATCACTGTTTGGTCCCACATCATTTGGTATTCAGTCGACATTTAAAAGGAGAGATTCTGGAGTTGGAGATTCGTTGGCGCTATGACAAGAGTGCCAACAACTTCACCATCCGTCGATTTCGCCTGACGTCACATCCGATTTTTGATCCGATAGATGCTGCAGTGAGTATAGTCCATAGATGCCACCTTTTGCAGGTTCCGTCTGTTGAACCAATGGGGGTATTCAGTACTAATGGCAGAACCTACCGATTCTTACGCGACTCTGATGTTCGCAAAGTGATGCAGCATTCAGTGGATCTGGCCTACCCAGATAAAAATCACTACATGCAACGCAACAAACATCTCATCCAGCCTCATTCCAACCGAATCACTGCCGCAGTTTGCCCTCAACGTGGTGGAGCCAGTAATGACGACATTGCGTTTAAATTACGCTGGAGTCCGACATCTGCGCCCACATACTTGCGTGAATGCTTTCAGGGCGTCGGTGATCTGTTGCAGAAGGCCATTACTGGAGTGATGAAGATGTCGTTTTCATAGGTCTTGTTTTCTTCCTTTTTTGTGTTCTTTGCGTTCTTTTTGTTTGTCTCTTGGAGTGCTCAAAGTGGCTTGTGGTGTTGGGTTGGTCACTCCTAGATCAACCTTGTGGTAGGAAAGTAGATCTCAGTAATACCGCACACGGGATTTCTGAGATTGGTCGAACGAATCGAGTCTATTACTCGATCAGTTCGACCCGCTTCACACCACAACCCACCAGCTACACACCAAGACAAAACCTATACGAACACACACACGGAGGACAGCAGTAGGCTATCTTAGATAGGCCAAAGAATTACCCTCACATTTGCCCGATATTAATTCGCTGTATTTCTCAAATCGACGTAATGGACGGATGGAAAACAGACCAAATACGTCGAATTTTGGTTACTCGGAATGGGCCTCAATCAATCGTGTCCATTCCCGCGGTTCGAATAAATTGACTAAAAAATCCAAGAAAACTGGTGGAATTTTGGATCCAAGCAGTCTTCATGTCCTGTTCGATTAAATTGACTCGATAAATCCATCAAAACTGGTGGAAATTTTGGATCTAGGCAGTCTTCACTACATTGTTGTTTTGGCACTCCACACAAGAAGAATGCCGAACCGCAGGCGACGACTGAGGGATGAGGGAATTATTGCTCTTTCCCTTTGCCACAAATTTAGTATTTCTTCTCAATTCCACAATACGGGAAGTCGAGAGGCAAGCGAAGGGTTCTAGGTAAACAAATATATTCTTGTCTTGGCGCCAAGCCAAGGTTAACGTGCTCTAACTTTTGTTTGCTCATCGTGTGACAGGAAAAATCCTACTCCACAATGCACCGAGCAAGGCGTCAATCTCATCGTGCAACCACAAGATCCCGAGTTCATGGCTCGACCTCGTTCGTGAGAGGTCCTCCAAGAGTCCTTTTCGAGAGGGGTAGTCGCGCCCACCAGTGCAACGGCATTTACTATTCTCTAGTGGACGACAAGTGCCTGGAATATCGCTCGGAAACCAAACAGGGAAAAAACAGGATTGCTCGCTCAATCTATTTTTATATTACAAGGACCTTGAATGGAGAATTCTTCACGAGAGCTAAAGGAGAAGAGGAGTGGCAACCAGTTCTTGAAAATAGGGCTGTCTTTAAGATAAAGAGTGCTTTAAAGGATAAGGCCCTGAAGATGGTACGGGACGCTACCGCTCAGGCTAACATCATCGATTCAGACGAAGTTGCTGACATCAACAACCAAGTCGGGCATGGAAACGGCCTTGGCATGGCACCGGCCCCTGTCATTGTACAACCTACACCTGCCAACACGGGTGCGTTTGAGCCACTATTCGATTTTGACAACAGTGGGCAACCTACAGCTGCCAACACCGATGACGAAATTTTTGACCATGTTGCTGGTCTGATCCACCCACCACAAGACCTCCACAATGTTGAAACATACCACACCTTTCCCGAGAACTTTGACTATGTTGCTGGTCTAATCCACCCACCACAAGACCTCCAGAATGTTCAATACTCTGCAGAAGCCAATATCAGCGATGCTGTACCGCTTGTTGGCGAGGACCATACAGAGGCTGTTAACGAGATCTTTGGCCGTCGTTCTGGTCTCGTCCACCCACCACAAGACCTAGAGAACCTTGCACTCCCTGTCGCTGCCAACATCGGAGATGCTGTACCACTTGTTGTCGGTGAGAATCTTACCGAGGTTGTTACCGAGATCTTTGACCGTCTAGCTGGCTTCGTCCACCCACCACAAGGCGTTGAGAATCTTGCATACCGTGCAGCTGCCAGCATCGGCGATGCTGTACCCGAACCGCTTGTTGGCGAGAATCTTACACAGGTTTTCACTCAGAACTTTGACCGTGTTCCTTCTGTGCTAGTGTCTCCCACTGGGACCAATGAGCCCATCCCCAGAGCGGACATTTTTGGCAACGATGCTCTTTTTCTTCCGGTTTAAAACTTTCCAACTGGGGCGTCTTTCAGCGAAATGCTTTCCAACAATACCAAGATTTAAATCAAATGAGACATACATTGATCAGCGTCTTCTTTTTTCTTGGTTGCTTGTTTTCTTCAGCTTTTTGCCTTTGATTTCGACTGATTGATTCAATGAAAGCTTTGAAATATACATTTACATGTTAATATTAATATTACCTTTTCTGTTACTCTTTTTATAGATACACCTTTTCGTATATTATATTATTCCTATAATATTCGTCCTCTTTGGTTCACAGCTTCTGTCTATAAAATTGCACTGAGATCGAGCAAGTTTGCAATTTTCTGCACACTTCTATCTTATCACATGTAGGCTACTTTGCAATACCATGGATGTAATCTTTATTTATTTGCATTATCAATGACATACCTTGTAGGCACTTGATGGCGCATTTATCACGATGCCATCAGCGGTTTCTCTCGTTGAGACAATGGAGGGGAGGAAACTAAACTCGTCTTCGTCCCAACCTTCATTTTGTTTCGAAATTGTTGGCGACCGTTTTGATCCATCGAAAGGTGCAGCCATCTGATGACAAAGCCCATCAATGCTGCAGGGCAAAGAGGTGGACGCAGCGGACGATTGCATTGATTTCACTTTCCCATTCACCATCTGACCCGACCATACATACTTGCGTCCAACATACATGATGCCAAAGCCATGAGACTGGTTCCGTTTGCTATCGGCAAACTGGCCCTGATATACAATGGGTTCTCTCAGCTTCCTTAGCTTGCTGTCGTAGTACTGAATATAGGTGCCTGTCTTCCGTTGTCCGCGGTGCCTGTGTTAGCATTGAGCAAAATACAGTGTGAGTAATCGATGATTCATGATGAGCACAAATGAATTGGGGTGCGTACCAGAGGCCTTGAAATGTGTTCATACTACTGTAAATGATGGTACCATGGCCATCGGGCTTGCCATCCTTGTTGACAGTGCCATAGTAACTCCCACATCGATTGGTAACCGAATGATTGAACTTAAATTTCTTTCCCATTACAATCTTTCTAGGAATATCAGTGCTTTCATTCTGCATAGAAGCCAGTTTTGGCACGTGCATTTGGCACGCTTGACTTTTGGCCTCCAAAACCATTGCAAATGCAGACTGCAGCAAACTTGCCGGAGGATATTCCCCGACTTCATGTATCATCACCTCCAGTGCGTCTTGTAGACTGCTTGCAGCCGTTTCCAGCGCTCTATTGTATCTTTCCTCATGTTTCTTTGTCCTCGTTGTAGAGATGGTTACTTGGGATAGATCATCATCGTTCGCCAGATGGAAGCCTTCAGAAGCAGGCCCGATCAAATGTATACGAGAAATCAGTTCGTCTCTGTTGGAGAATGTCATGTATATCAGTGGTGTCAGAACAAAATGAGAGCCGTGGCAATTTCAATGTCTTGCTGAATCGATGGCAAAATCAGTGGTCTGGTTTTCGTATTATCAATGTTTTGTGAGGTTGTGAGTGATTCCTGCATCCCATCATGTACGATAACTAACTCGGAAGAGAGCGATTGGAATTTGTAAAACGCCGATGTGAGTGTTACGTATCATATGATAAACGGTATTGGGCGCGTCCGCAAACGTGTGAATTAATCCCCCAGAAAACATGGGGGAGAAGGGGGTCGTGCAAGTCCACAAACGTTAGTAATGACAACAAGAGTACAGAACTGTACCATAGTATGACACCAGGTAACATCTACCGGTACCACTATTTTACCTTCCATTTCACCCTGGAAGGGTCACTCCGGTTTCAAGTAAAAGGCAGTTGGTGAGTCCATTCTTGCTGCAAAGTGGCCCGTCTTCTTTTCCCCCCGTGCAGCTTCATCAGAGAGACCAAAAGTGCCACTTTGGGGGTTGCTGGTCAAAAATCCTACAATAAAATTGTAAACGCACACCCCAATTTTATTGCAGCATCAAAAGGAATCATATAGTCCATACGAAATGCAATTTTTTATCCCAATAAAATTCTGAACTCAAATTGTTGTTACCCAATAGATGAAAAATGCAATCGTCATTGCCGACGTTGGATAAAGTCAAATTTCGAATTCGAAACACAACTAGCCATAAAAATATTAGACATGTACAGTCTACCATTACAGTCGAAACTGAACTGCATATCGTAACCTGCCTATTCCAACCTTTCACCTCCAAGACTGTCTTGCCACATCTAAAGTGCGGCATCAAAATGCCCCAAATCATATGTTCAACATGCAAAAAAGGTTCACTTTCTTACTCAACCATTGGGAACAGGTCCCCATAGATGGCTTTTTATATTTGGGGAAACAGTAGGGATGGATGCGCTACTATAAATTAATTTACAGTGTCAAATGTACTGACCCCCTTTTGGATATCGTCTGCTATAATATTTGCGTTGACAAAAAAATTTCCATCACGACACACTAATATTTTTTGCTCACGATGGTGAGCCTTGCGGCCAATGAATTCATCACCCACAGCAAGAAAATAGTTGAAAAGTTGATATAACATTCATCGTGACAGTATGTATATTGACAACTGAAGTGATACGGACGCATTAGCCTCTTTGATCTTTGAAATGACCTCTCAAGGCCAACCAAGAACCAGTAGTTCTGATGTTCGGCTTTGGAGCCCCTGGACGCCATGCAAGAAAGAGTTACTCAACAATATGCCAATGTCTTCTCTGAATGGCTCACAACAAACACAGGAGACTTTTGTTCCTTGGAAGATTTTGACAAGATGAAGCAGACAGTCACCTAAAACGTGAGCTGATCCCATTCACAATGTTTTGAAATCTGACGAAGACGCGTAGACTACTATGCCAACAAGGAAAAGCTTTCTTCATTCTTTCACACAGCGACAAAATGATTGTGTCAACAGAGACGCCGATCCAAGCTCACAGTGTCTCCCACCATTATTGACGATTGTATGTCCATGGACATAACTTGATTCCATTCACGATGATTTGAAATCTGACGAAGACGTGTAGACTACTATGCCAACAAGGCAATACTTTCTTCATTCTTTCACACAGCGACCAGATGATTGTGTCAACAGAGACGCCGATCCAAGCTCACAGTGTCTCCCACCATTATTGACGATTGTATGTCCATGGACTGATTCCATTCACAATGTTTTGAAATCTGACGAAGACGTGTAGACTACTATGCCAACAAGGAAATACTTTCTTCATTCTTTCACACAGCGACAAAATGATTGTGTCAACGGAGACGCCGATCCAAGCTCACAGTGTCTCCCACCATTATTGACGATTGTATGTCCATGGACTGATTCCATTCACGATGTTTTGAAATCTGAAGAAGACGTGTAGACTACTATGCCAACAAGGAAGAACTTTCTTCATTCTTTCACACAGCGACCAGATGATTGTAGTAAAGATTCTTAGTATATTGTACAAATCACATTAGAAGGACCCATGGGTGTATACAGTACGTTGTAGCTGTTGAAGCAATTTGTTGTAATCAACTGAGACTTTTACAGACAGTTTCAAGACAAGGACTGAAGATGACTGTCCAGAACACCATTGGACGATGAACCAGTGGAATAAAGGAGAAGATTGTGACAACAAACTATATGGTACTAAGGATCCATAGATACATACAAGCAATTCACCCACAAACTTACTACGGAATTGACCATCCTAGCCAACTGAGACTTGCATAGAGGAATTCAAGACAGCAACTGAAGATGACTGTCCAGAACACCATTACTCAATCAACTGCTGCCCCAAACACTTGAAAATAGTTTGAGGTAATGTAATACAATAGTTATAACAAAGATTCGCATGAACTATCATGTCATACTTTAGGTATCACTAAGATTGGTCCTCAGACTAACTTGGTTTGCCCTCTATGATCGGTGTTCATTACCTGGGTCATCAGTTGTTTGGGCTGGAAAAGTCTATTAGTCTCTTGATGAGTTCTGACCTGCATACCTCTTAGGAGTTCATGCACTATGGTATCACTTCCCAAAACAACAAAGACATCATCATCTTTGTCCAGATCAAGACTCTCCAGAGCATTGACTGGGCTCACATGCAGTATCATTAACATAAACTTGAGTGATAGTGTGGAGCACAAGCACTCATCATTTTGTGAGGCTTATGGGCCAGGATCAAAACTTTATCACCAATGTTGTAGTTCTTGTAACGGCGGCGCTTGTTCTTGGTGAAATTGTTGTGATCTGCAACAGCTTGGCGTTGGCCCGAGGTCAGAGGCTTGTTCCAAGTCAAGAAAGGCAGGAACATTGAGTAGCATGTCACGATGGAAGAAGATGGAACCAGGAGAGGCAACCAGAGACTTATTGACAGAGGTACCTATTGCACGCTGAGCAAAGGCAAGGACAGTGTCGATAACTTTGGAGGCAGTCTTGATGTTGCTATCAGGGATGTTTGCAGTTTGATAGCAGCATGGGATTGCTCAACAATAGTGTTGAACTGCAGGTTCTTAATAGTAATAGGAACACCAGTAATTCCATTGAGATTGAGAGCCAGCTGAAAGACAGGAGCAGTCACGGAACCAGCAGCATCGTAAATCACACGAGCAAGATAAGGGTAGCGAGAAAAGCCACTCATTCTCAAAGGTCCAAGATCGGGGCTCCGGCAGACAAGGAGTCAACTTGACGAATCTCCAACAGGCTGGATGCAATATACATGATTGTCAAAGCAAGGAAAAGGAGTTTAGGGTCGCCATTGAGGATTTTGGTTACCATTCGATGGTCGAAACATAAACACCACTTTGTACTTTCTCTTGAACATGATCGTTGTCATTCTTGGCTTGCAATGGGGTGGAAAAGTATCGATTGCTTCAGGGTAGTTAGTAGAGCATAATCTGCTTCAAGAGATCCTCTGTAGAAGCAGGATCGCCTTGCTCCTCCTTGCGACTCCACATGGAAAGTTTCTCCTGGCTGAACAAATGCGTGGCAATACCACAACGGGCGGGTCTGCATTACTATCCAACGCCCGTTGTATGTATTCCACCCGCCGGTTTATTGTTGACAAGAAGCTGATTCCATTGAACTACATGAAGCCTGTGAATCGTAAACACCGTGGAGCACACCTTGTTGCCAAAATGCTTTAACCCCTTCTAGCTTTTTGTCCACTTCTCTTGGGATTTGGGGTGCCACAAGGCAGCAAGGTTGCGGTGAAGTATCCCAGTAATATGTTTCTTCAATGGCTGTTCTTGAATCAGGACAAGGCAGTCGTTGGTTCTTCCGTTGCTTGCCCAGACTGGCATCACAGTCGTTCCATTCGATATCATTATGATCCAATTCCTCATTCACCACTATTTTTCAAAACCAGCACACGCAGTGGTACGTTGAAAAAAAGGACATCTTGAGAGTTGAGTCTTTTGAAAATGACCTAGGGACATTCCACAGAGTGATGCCACAATCTCTTGATCGTCGGGAAGGTTGATGATCCGAGAGAGTTTCTCTTCAGAAGATTCTATATTCCATGCTGTAGAAGGCATGAACCACCTTCTCAATGAGGTTGATTGTTATCATGTAGTGGGCTGAATTTCCTTCTTCTGCCATGTTGAAGGAAGTGTGAAGGCAAAAAGAAAGGATGGCGCAGTTGGATGTGTTGCAACTTCCAACTTCTCATACAGTTTGAATATATTTCGGAGCTCCGTTCACGATGAAACTTTTACTGTACTTTAATGTTCTTTTTTCCGAAAGTCCTTAAGTGAGTATATGCATGCATGACAAATAACGGTGATATACCTCCTACAGAGGATGCCAGAAAATCTGAACTTGGCCAAGTTCAGATTTTCTGGCATGCTCGCAATCCAACTATTCAAACGGAAGGAATCGACCCCACGACTGCTGCGATGGGACTGGTTCTGTGTTACCACTGTGTCTGTCCGTTGCTGAATTTTTTTCGAAAATGGTTGTATACTATCTGTCCTAAGTAAAAAGGTTCGCGCCATTTCCGAAAGCCACACCCGCAACACCAAGTTGGTCTTCGAAGCGCCAAAATAAAATAGCAAACACACTGGGCAATTATTGTTTGGATCCCGTATAGTCGTACCGTGCAGCAATGCACCATAATAAAATAGCATATGCTTGTGTAAAGCACGTACAATGAATTGGCATGCGACATGAGCCAAATCCGTTGGGGACAATAAGCTTAGGTAACTGGGAGGGAATGTGGAGTGACCTTCTGAAATTGGCGGTAAACTCTCCTCCATCAATTGACAAATGCTGTCATAAATTGAAAAATATGGACGCACCTCCCAGTGACCTTGGAGATGCTCCTCAAATCTGGAAGTTGTTGAAGATGCCCTTCAATAGACCCTGAGGAGATATGAAGTTTGGGATTCAACCTGTAAAAGATATGTCACTAAACTTTTGTTCTTACATCAGCCGATCATTACCCATCGTCAACATCAACTCAATGCATACAAGGGATTTTCAATGAGCTTGTTATTAGGAGTAGGATGGGTAGCAACGTTCCAGGGGATGTTTTTTCTGGTGGATGGTGGCAAGCAAGAGAGTGGGAAGAAGGTATAATAAAGCCTTGAACCAGAAACGTCATACGTGAAGGAACAACATGAAGTTGGCGGTGACAAGTGAGTGACACATTGGGGTCCAACAAGACATTTTTCTTTGCTAACCAATTCTGCTCTCAAATACTAATACAGTATTCAAATTTACATACAGAAGCTGAAGGTGTGGAAGGATGAGAGCGCTGGGCCCACCAAATCCAAGAGTAATGTCGTTGAGTGGAATACCTTCACAGGAGAATGGAGATACCTAAGTTTCATTCTTGCAGGTCCTTGGCAAGGCTGTAATATTACATGGGAAGAAATTTGATAAAGTTTCAAAGACGAGAGCTTTGGCGTCAAATGCCATTTGGCTGCCTGGTTTCAACCTGCAATCCAGCTCAATAGCCTCTTTTCTCGATGAAACGATTGGTTGGAGCAAGGGATCCGTGCTGATCTCAGAGGGTAGAGGTGGTGCCGAGCATTGGTAGAGCTGCAGTTCCTGACAATTGGGGGAACTTTGACTTCTTTCGTGCAGATGGTGAAGAATCAATTGGAGTTGTCTAGTTGAAACAGTGAAATAGTTCTTTCATATACTAGTACCATGAATGCATTTACTTTCCAATTTACTTTCCAGGCAAAATGTACATTTTGGACCGCCTACTTGGAGAATTTGTATTCAGATATAATTTCCTAGAACATAGTCTAACAGTTGAGGGCAGCGTTTAAAAGTTGAAGTTATTTCTCATCTGTCCCAATTGTTGGCAAGCATGCAAAACAACAATACAAGTCCATAATTGTATAGGGTCTGATGATGCAAAGAATTTTGATTTTTATTATTATGAAACAAGTGTTGCATTACATTGCAAAATATAAATTCAATTTGTTGGGGAATGTGACGGGGAAGAAAAATATGGATAGAAATCTTGACGCCACCGGCTGAAATTGTTCTCTGAACGTTGTAGTCACGATGATGACGGTAACCATCAATTGAAATCTTGACGTCACCATCTGAATTTGTTTTCTGAATGTTCAGATCACATTTGAATGTCAAATCTGAGCTAAAACTATGCCATTTGAAAGGACAATGCAACCCTTGCATAATCCAGTTGCAAGCTCTGCCTGCAAACTCCCCCCGTTCGAAGGTAACCAGCAAATTCATGCAGAACACTAGAGCTGCTTAAAATAAATTGAAGGAATTTTTGCACACCGTTTTGGTCTCTCTGATGCTTTGCTTGTGCTACTTTTACTACTTTGTGGGTGTGCACGTGAAAACTGAGATGCACGGTAGGGTTTGATGTTCGGGTGTCAGAAATTAAGCTAATACATTTTCGTGTAGCTCCATGTCGCACCATGGCGGCATCGGTGCGGTGCTGTGACCTTGTTTAGCGTGAATGTTTAGCGTGGATTTGGACCTATCAAAGTACTTTCACGCTAAACATGAATTGGACGATCGAAGTGCAGACGACGATATTCAAATAGCCAAACCTCACCACAATGACAATTCAACTCTACACTGGCTTAGAATTAGATCGAATTTTGTAGTCGAATGTTAATATATTGTATTCTACCTTGTTGTGGATGTCATGGGAGGAGGTTGTTGCCTAGATACAACTGGAAACCTGGTCATTCTTATTCCTGGTCACGGTGCAACAAGCAACAATGCACACCAAACATTCAGCCATGATCTGTAGGTTTTCGTCATATTTGATTTGCCAGGCGGGTTGTCACATTCCACAGTACTCTTCCATGTATCATCTTTGAGCGCCATTTTGAGGAAGCATGCTGGCTTGTAGGTATCAATCATTGGAGAATTGTCGCCAAGCAATTGCTGCTGCTACCACTGAAACCTTGTATTGCATCAGCTACAGTCGCAAGTTCCTTCATATGTTGTGCATTCTTGGTATCTCACATAATTCGCCTGAAAGCTCCCCAGTTCTGATTTCTTTCACTCTGCTCAGTTGATGACAGGCAGTGCCCATGCTGATTTGCAAGCCAAATAGAAGATTCACAAAACATCCGCATTCCATTTGCTGGCAAGAGTTTGCCTCCATCCGCTTCGTCGTCTGGAAATCTCAGATATTCTCATTTCTTTTAGTCTGCACAGTGGACGGCAGCGCTCATGCCGATCTTCGAAGCCAATGAGCAAGGAGATAGCAAGACAATATTATTCCCCTTGCGCGCAACACCGACTCCAGTAGTATCCACCTTGTTCGTTTCAGCCCCCACAGCGGTAGATTGTTGGCGAAACGTATGTTTCTTCCTCTGCTTCAGTTCATATCTTGTCTTCTTCTTCATTTGATGGCTCGGTTTTGGGTAACAAGGCTCGCCAGCACTGTGGTTTCACCTCGTTGGATTACAAGAAAAACACATCAAAATTGCCAACTGCCTCCGGCAGCTGTCATCATCAATCTATTCTTTGTCTCCCGTCCTCAGTTTCATTTGTCGTTCGCTATGAGGAAGCTTGTGAAAACAAGTAGCTACTGTATGGTCGTGAATGATTTGGATAATGATTTTGGAGTGTCATCCATCATCTTGTATATCCGGGTTACTTTGGTGCATCTGATCATGGGCCTCGCGACCTTCGGTCGCTCCGCCAAATAGTTTTACGTGCAAGGTCATAGCACCGAATTTTTGCCACCATGTCGCAGTTGACCACATAAATAAATTCTTGTTCCTTTTCGGCCGACTCAATTGACCAAATGTTCGACTCAGTCGACTTTCTATTTCTCTTTACGGCACGTTACTGTACACGTTTACAGACCCTACTAAAAAATACCTCCCCTTTTGAGAGCTAAACAATTCGCGTGAGGTACCTGGTACCAGGTTCAGGTACTGTACCAGCTGTACCGGTACGTATCGAGATTTTAATTACGCGACTGAGCAGACGCGTTTGCATTTGTGAGCCTATGAGCAACCGCGTTTGGAAATATGTTGCAAGTTTGATGATTCCAAACAGCTCACCAGATAGATATCTATCGAGGCAACTCAGCGCATTACAAGAAGAAAGCTCAAATATGAACGCAAACACAGTTGTACCATCGCCTGATTCCACTGAAGCGGAGGAAAAGAAAACCGTTGTTTGCAATCCAGCACGCAGCGGGGGACGACAAGATGCTACATTTCATGACTTCATGACTGACAAGGGGCAAAAGCAGAAGTATTTGCAGTTGAAAAGTGGCGGGAAAGCCAAGAAACAAGACCTCGACACGTTTCTAGATGCTATGTTTAAAACTGCAAAAGAGCGCTTTAGTTTTGTGTATCAAGACGGAAAGAATGAGGTTGAAGATGAAAAAATCAAACAAAAGATTGAAAAGTGGTATTACAACCAAAAACCCAATCTTTCGAGAATTATCAGCAATTTTGCCAAGCAGCTTGACAAGCATCTTGCTATTCTCTCAAAGGCGTGTGATGAGGCAGTGAGTCTTGGACTGGATTCAACCAAATTGCAAGAAGTGAACAAAAGGTACGAGCAGTTCATCTCAGCCGCGATCCAGCAAAACCAGCTTCCTTCGGAGCAGAAAGACAAAAACGAGAAAGGTATCGGTACATTTGATACAAAAGATTCTATCAGAAAATACAGTGCTGATGCTAAGCAAGGTACAACTATACCAAGTGAAGTCGTTGGGAGTCTAGCCCAAAGCATCGACGGCATCACATTGCAGACTCACAACACAACGGAAGCGATCAATCGAAAGCTCGACATCGTACGGGCAACAGACCCTTCTTCCTGGAAAACCAGTGCTTTCACTCCTATTTTAGGAAAACGATTGAAATTTCTCAAATCTACGCTGAACGATAGTGGTCAATATTACGGAATGCTCAACGAAGCTGGTCAACCAAATGGATTCGGAGTGGCGGCATATTTTACTGGTAATTTCTTCTTCGGACAATGGTGAGGTCACCAAGCATGTGACTTTGTGCTCTCTTCCTCTTTTTCACTCTCTCACACTGGATTTGTATAGGAAAAAAGGTAGACGTGTGGCTGGATATTATGTCCACAAGTACGAGTATGACACATTAGATGATCGAAAACTAATTCAACGCCCATACCCAATTATTTATAAAGGAGCCTGGAATGAGAAAGGCAACACGCTCGACGACTACTGGCTGTATTTTGGTGGTGATTGGGTGTCTTCCAACGGAACCAACAACGGAAGTGGAAGTGGAAGGAAGCGTGCAAGGGAGGACCAAGAGCCTGAACTCGAGGAAGTCTTTGATAGAAAGGTTTATCCTTTGCCCGACACTTTGCAATTTTAAAAAGAAAAGCAGGTACCAGATACCAGAAGCAGCGATGATACATTCTCTGCAAAAGTAGGATCTAGTTCACACAGTACAGTAGGATAGTGTTGCAAACGTGTAACAAACCAAACAAAGCTCCATGATGAGGGCCGATTCACTATAGGGCTCTGGAACTCTTGAAGACATCTCGTGTCTCGTGTCCATTAAATGGTATAAACGATTTTGGCTTCTTGTAGTAGCTGCATTAATCTTTGATAAGGCATGCCTGGCAGCGCATTTCAATGGTTCTGTTTTAATTTTTAGATCCATCTGTTGAGGTGTTTAAGATTACCCTACTGGTCCCGCCTAACCCTTGGAGGAAACCAGCTCTTATTGCGCTGGGGGATTGGGGGCCAACGGCTGGACTCCCCGCAACTCGTCTGTCTATCCACCGACTTTTGAGCGTCGGACGCGATTACTACGCACGGGTCTTCCCCCCCGCCAGCAGGGAGCCCCTAATAAATTAAAACGACTTTTTGAAACCGATCAAAGAAATCGAAACAAGTCACGGTGACAAGAAACCGATCAAACGATTTTGAAACCGATCAAAGAAATCGAAACAAGTCAATGCGACAAGAAACCGATCAAACGATTTTGAAACCGATCAAAGAAATCGAAACCGATCAAACGATTTTGAAACCGATCAAAGAAATCGAATCA